GTCAAGGCTCTGAAATGCCGAGGTGTGTACAAAGGGAGGAAGGCAAGGTCCTGGGCTGGTGAAATCTGCCCTAAAGACAAGCTGATATCTCAGTTGATACAGGTGTGGAAGGAAATGACCTTTCCAAGAAAATCCAGCAACTGCTTCTGCCAAGATTTGTTGTGGTCTTTATTGTGCAAAGCCTGGGCTCTGCGGGGTGTCTCCTACCCCCCCCAGCTGCCCTGACCTGCTACATGCACTGCTTGAGCAGGAGAGCTGCAGGGTGAGGGGGATGATACTGGCTGTGTAACCTTTCCCCGTGGTTTCTGTGGAGTTCGCTGTCAGGTTTAATTCTCCTCCCTGTGCTGCAGCCACCCCAGAGGGCCACGGTGCCATCCTGGCCCCCAAATAGAACCATCCCTCGATCCTCATCGGGGAGCTTGCTCCACCTCAGCCAGGCAGCTCTCCAAGCTGGAGATGGGGGAGAGGCACGGAGTCATCAAAGCACACGTCAAGCTGATGAGAGCTGCTGGCAGGGCTCCCCGAGCCGCTGCTCCACGCGTTGTGCTCCGTCTCGTCAGCTCTGAGCTCTCGGCAGTGCCAACTGGAGCTGGAGACTGTCCACGCAGGAACAAAACTGCCCACGCTGTCTGCCCAGCTTCACCCCACTGCGGAGTTACCTGGCTGGAAGCAGGGGGAGCTTTGTGCTGAGCAGGCACTGCCAGGGCTGCGTGGCTTTCTAAGCAAAGGCCTGGCGTGGCCTTTCCCCTAAATATGCTGTAAAAGCCCCAGAAGCCCTGAAAAGCAGAGTGTTGCCCTACACTTAATCAGCTTGAGAAGCCCCAGGACAGCAGGAGCGGGCGCTATCAAACTTCTGGCTGAGAAGGGAAGTTTGTAGATAAAGCTTCTTGCACGGTGTCGTCAGAGACTGTCCCCATCTCTGCAGGGAGATGGAGAAAAAAGCAGCATCTGGCTGGGTGTGTGGTGGGGATGGATTGGGGAAGTGTCCCACGGACAGAGGACTGGAGAGCATTTGGGATGTGGGGGGATAAGAGGGGGCCAGGAGAAGGAAGGATGTCACAGCTACGTAAATGAACATCTTTACCTGCTCTGTCCCAGTAAAATCCCTCCACACCACGAGATTTCGTTGCCTCCTTCCCGTAGGGAGGTGATGGATTTTCAAGTTTTAAAACACGGGAATGCAAAACCGTTAAACGCCCCAGGAACCAAACTGCAAAAAGTAAAAAAACAAACAAAAAAAAAAAAACAAACAGAAACCCCTCCTTGGCTCGTGGGGGTGTTAAGAGCATGGAGGGTGGGTGGGGGGAGATTTGGGGGAAAAAAAATAATATTTAAAACAGAAACAACAACCCCGAGCCTGAGCACTGAGAAGAACAACATCCGAGGAGCTCCAGGAAAACAAGCCATGAATGCGGGCAGTCAGCAGCGGCGCTCAGCTGATGTTCACAAGAAGGTTTCGGCTCGCTGTGTTGGAGACCTCAGCAAACCTTGAAGACAGAGAGAGCATTTAGAAATGCCCCTGAGGTTTTCCGTTGCTCTGCAGTAGGCTCGGTAAACATGCCAATAAATACTGGAGAGAGAAGAAAAGCCCTTACAGAGGAGCAGACACCGGTTTTCAGCCGCTCAATCTTCTGCCTCCGCGGCAGCTGCTGCCGGTCGGCGCTGGGGGGAAAGGGGCAGAGAGGATCCGAGCGCTGGGGCTGCGGGAATTGCTGGGAAAATCACTTCTCAGGAGGTTTCTGAGCACACCTGGAAGTTACATCCGGAGCTGTGAGAGGGAATGCCCCGTAGGAAGGCAGCAAGCTAGCGGGACAATTCGTGTCGCGGCGTGCCTGTGAGTATGGGAACTGCTCTGCGGCAGGATGAGCGTGTCAGAGGGGGAAAAAAGGGGAGAAACTGTTCTGTGAGCGTGGTGGGAGCTGCTGCCATCCAGCTTACGGTAGCCCTGGCTGTAGGTAGCATCTCAATTCTTCTAGCTGCTGGCGCTGCTTTGCCCTGGGACAGCTCGGTGCGAGCGAGGGCAGAACCGGGCGCTTTAGAGCCAGCATCTGGCCCCGGTGCTGGTCGTGTTTTGTTTGCCCTAAAAAACAGCCGAGCTGGCCTGTTGGGAAGTCGAATTTGTAATTCCTAACTTCTTCCTCTCTTAGCTCAGCCAAATGCGAAGTCTGCCCGGTAACGGAGGAAGCACCAGCACAAAAACAACGGAGGAAGACAAATGGTTCCTGCGTGCCCTAATTGCTGGGGTCGTCTCGGCTGACGACGTTTATTAAATTAGCAGAGAGGAAGGCAGGCTTTCGCAGAGCAGAGATTAATGGTTTCTGGCCAGCGGTTTAATGCTACTGCAAACGTACAAAAGCACCTGAGGACGGAGGTGTGCAATTAGCGACTCTTTAGCCTGTTGGAAACGCTGGGTGTTTATCTAATCAGGCGCACTTTGCTCCTTCCTCGCTTTCCTGGAAGTGGCCCTTAAAAGCTGCCGTGACGCACGCTGGCTTCCAGGTGCTGCTCTCACCTCTTGGGCATCGCTTTGAAACCCAGACGCGTGATCAGGTCGAGTGTTTGTGGGTGTTTTTTATCGCAGGTTCTCCTTGCTTCTCCCCTTGCCGAGCTCCTGCCGGCCGACGTGGCAGCTCCGGGAGGGCTCTGCTCAGGCTTTGCTCCTCTGGCGGCGTGGGGGAGACCCTGCAGAGCTGCCTCCTTCTTGCTGGTGCCCCCAGGAGCTGGTGGGAGCATGGTGGAGCAACAGGAGCCGGGTGTGAGGTGTCTTTGAGGACCTTTGGCTTTCTTTAGGAGCTCTGGGTCCTCCTGGAGTGAGCCAGGGCGGGCTGTGCCGACCCACCGAGAGCTGTGCGGCCGTCTCCGTGCCGTGGTGGAGAGGGCTCGGGCCCCATCCTTTCAGCTGTCTGTGTGGTGCACATCCAGCCTGTGGTAAAGTGTTCAGACAGCAGATAACCGTGTCGTGTCACCGGTATCCAGCATTGTGGGCCTTTCCCATCCTCCTCCAGGTCGGTGCTTACGATGCCTTAGCAAAGACAAAATAGCGTAGTTCAGGTTTCTTAGTAAAAATAATCACGGGCTGAAATAAAAACGGTAACACCAGGAGATCTGCCTGCTGCATTGAGGGCAGCAACATCCTTTCTTCCTGCCCACACCAACAGGAGAACAGCCCCGTGTCTGAGCCCGAGCCAATGTCAGCAGCAATCGCCCAGCTTCCAGAACCAAATCCTGGTTTCACCAAGCTGCTGCCAAACCAGCGATGGCTCTGCAGGGTGCAAGAGGGTCCAGTTGGGTAGAGACAGCAGCCGTGTGTCACTGCGTGTTCTCCTTGCTCTCTGGCTTTGCTGTGGGTTCAATATCCATCCTGCACCTATTCACCACCTCCTCCAGTACCTTCTTAACTCAAAGCCTGCTGCTGAAGTCACCTTAAAATTACACTAACTTGCTTTTTGGAGAGGCCGAAACCGTGCACAAACATTTTGTTGGTTTGGCCATCGTGGCTGCAAGAAGTAAATCCCGTTGGGGTAGTAAGGAAGTCGTGAGGGGCAGTGGAGTTGCCTTTAGGTCATTCATAACTAAGCCGTGGTATGGATGCGAAGTCCCAGATGATCTGAGCTTGCCTTTGTATCTCACGATGCTGAGCGAGGGGGAATTTTGTCTTTGGAGGTGCTGCAGCTGAGAGATGCCTGTGGTTGCACCTGGAGTCGTGCAGAGCTGGGTGCGTGTTCATGCAGGAATCCTGCTACCTGCTGGCTTTTCCATTTAACCACTGCCTTCTGCTCACAGTCAGCCCCGAATTGGTTTGTGAATTTTGGGCCTTCTCTCGTTAAGTTTGCCTGGAGAGCAGCTCGGTGGCACCCTGGGCTGGAACAGGGTACGTGGGGGCTGCTGTGGGATGTCGGTGCTGGTGGGAAGCTGGGGAATCTTTCGGCTCGGTGAGCTTGCTGCTGCAGGAACCGCACAGAGTTCAGTGGTTTCCGTTCTCAGGGCTCTGCACGAGGATGGCTTTCAATTCACATGCACTCATTATTCGCCCTCCCCCAGGATTTCCCCTCCAGCTTGGAAGCTGTGGCGGGACATCGGCTCCAGAGCTCCCGGTTCTGCCCCGCTTGGTGCCGATTTCAGGGGGTTCTCAGCTAAAGCCAAATTTTGGGAAAGGGCAGGAAAAGGGAGCAGGAAGGGGAAAGGGCAGAAGTTTTCTGGGATGTGTTAGAGGCACCCCAGGGCCATTTGGTAAGTGCTGCGTGTGCCAGTGAGCAAGGTGAGAGCGGCGGGGAGAAGGTTGGAGGGAGACGTGCAGGTAGAGAGAGTGTGGAAAACAGAAGGCAGAAGCTGAACTGGTTTTCACCTTCTCTGTTATTGTTATAACACTGTATTTAAATTAATTTTATTAAATCTCAAATATCTTAATGGTTGCCAAATTTGATGTTTTGTCTGTCAGCTTCGGGGCAAGGTTTCTCTCTCCTTGAGGCTGGGCCTGTGATAGCTTGAAAACATTTGCTCTTTCACTTAGTTTTCCAGCCCTCGTGACTGCAGAGCAGAGCTTTAAGATGTGTGTCCCAGACACATTCTTTAAGTTAAAAACACGGAGATAAAGCAACAAGCCCACAGATGTATTCAACCGTATTTTTGTTATGATTTTTCTCAGTGCCAGTCCCCTGACTTTTCCTTGTTTGGGGTCGGCCTCGTAGCTCTGGAATTTCAGAGCCCTCAGCTGAGACCTGGGGTCACGGTGCGCCCCCGCTACTGGTTCGAAATCAAAAGCTTTGTGCAGCCCTCGCTGTTACTGGCTGTGCCGTGACACTGCTTTGAAAAAGACCCAAAACAATAGAGAAAAAAAAAAAAAACAAAACAGATTTGAATCTCAAGGACAGCACAGCTGCAACATCCCGTCCGCTTGACTTTGCAGCTCACGGTAGCTGAGGGTCGGCCACGCTGGGAGTTTGGGCTGGGTGCTGCTGGTGGGTGACACCCCCCTGATGCCAGAGTGCGTTGTTTTGCAGGAGCCAGGCCAAAGAGACTCCAAAGAAACAGCATGGACAGCTTAGACCTCCTGAAGTTCCCTTCCGAAAAGGTAAGCGAAGATGGCTGGCTTGCCTGGAGGATGAAGGATCGGTAGGAATCCGTAAGGGCTTGTTGACTGCCTGCATGCGCAGGGAAGTATGCAATTAGCAGATAGCACGGGAGTCAATGGGATTAACCTGAGAGGGTTTCTAGAGAGGAACAGCTGGTCTAGCTAAAAAGGCACTTAGCTGAAAGCTGAAAAAGCCACTTCTGGGGTTTTTTGAAAAAAAAAATCAGCCCTTTATTGAAGAGGATAAGCACGAGCAGTTTAGCCCCTTCAGTGGCTGGTGACGCATCTCGGTGCCTTGTTAACCCAGCAGAGTGCTGCCTTCGTGCAGCCAGGGAAAGAGAGGTCAGGAGGGAGCTGGAGCATTGCAGGAGGCAGAAGATCTTGTCCCAAGGGGCTCTGAGGATTGCCTCTGCTCTGGTTCACTGCTGGAAACATCAGATCCAAGCAGATCAGTGTTTTCATTGCCTCCCCAGGGCAAAGGCTGTTTCTACAGCCAGCTGGGAGGCACTGAGCCTTTCCACCTGCATGGATCATTTAAATTTCTGAGAAAATCCTACACAGGATCGCTGGGTCTGCCCCGTGGCAGGTGGCGGTGCTGCCGTGTGGTTCAGCCATGCCCGATCCCAGGGGCAGGCAGCCCAGCTCTGCTTTTTGGGAAAGGCGTTGGCAGGAATCATTTATATTCATGCGGTGCTTTCCAGGCACAGCTCTCCGGAGTGCCCCGGGGAGCGTTTCCACTCCTGCAGAAGTGTCACAAAAAAAAAAAATTCCCCCAAGTTATGGGTAGGTGCAGGGGGTCAATAGGAAATAACCTCAGGTTTGCAGAGACATCTGAGAGCCTAAGCAGCCCAGCAGGCACCTGGTGGGACTGGCAGAAGCTCTTTCCTGAATTAACTCTTAGGAAGTTAAATTCCAAGCACCCTTTTTGTTAATTCACCCACCTGCCCAGAGGCTGGCTGCCTCCTACCTGCTGTAACCAGCGCAGGTCCATCTCTTCTCCAGCCACAACCACACGTTCTGGGCTGGGTGGCTGCTGCCTAAAATCCCTCTCACCTTTCCCACACCACTGGGTTTATCTGCTTGCCTCCAGGTAGGTGTTGGACCTGAGGTTGGACTGACCCCATGGGTTCCCTGTGATGACAGGGACACAGTGCCCAGTGGCAGGGTGATGTGTGTGTCCTAATCAATCATTTCTGTGTCCTGATGGATCAATTCTGTGTCCTACTCATTGCAGCATGGCCCGGGGGCTCTGGCAGTGTTGTGCTACAGGAGATTTGTTGCTAGTGCTGCTGGTTTCCTGCTCTTTGCTCTGCAAGCTGGGCCTCGCTCAGTACTCCAGGCAGGGTGGTGGATTTCGGGGGTTCTGGGGGGAGCTGTGGGTAGTCCATAACCTGGGAGATCCCCCCAGAGTGGTCCTGTGTGAGCTCACCTCTCCTTGTGGAAGCAATTCCCCGTCCTTTGAGGTGCTAAGACCTCAAAGAATAAACCAGTGGTGTGAAATGCGATCTCTCCAGCACCCTCTCATTATTTCCCCACCCTTTCTGCCCTTAGCTCTGCCAGAGAGAGCCTTCAAAGTCAGCAGGACCCCCTGTTACCCAACAGGCCAGGAACTTTTGTGCAGTGCCCCTGCACAGAGTTGCTCCTGTGCTCCCCGACCCGTGCCTTGTTCCTTGGTTTGAGTTTCCCTGGTTTTAGCTCCCAGCTGTTGGCTCTTGTTTATTCCTCTCTCCACCAGACTGAAAAATCTCTTCATCACATGCTGGTTTTTACCCTGGAGGTGCTTACATGCCGTAATTGAGCCATCTATTCTTTGGGCATGAAGGAAGCCGTTTGAGGCATTGCGAGGCAGCTTCTGTCCACATCTGAAGCCCACTTTCAGGCCTGCTTTTCAAGCTGTGGACACCGGCCTGGCTGCAGTTGGTCGCATTGATAGCATCTAAGGAAATGAAACTCCCCTCGCTTGTTCTCACTATTCCTGGTTGTGTTTCAAGGAGTGCAGAAGGCATTTTGGCTCCAGCATCCTGCTGCGTTGGGCTGCTGGTGTGCTGTGACTTTGGGTCCTGTTCAGTGTTTTTGCCTTTTCAGTGCTCACCTCTTAAAATCCCGGCCTCGTGGGTCCCTGGGTGAGCTGTGCTCCTGAGCTGGGCTCCAGCTTTCACCCGCACGCAGCAGCTGAAGTGAGGAGTAAGGACACTGGGGAGTTCTCTCGGTGCTCTGTGAGCGATAATAAGATGGTTTGCAGCATGGAAATACAAAAGCCCAAAGCATGGAGCAGGTTTAGGCACTCAGATCCCACTGGTTATGTGCCTGGTGCCTTTAATAAGTGCCTTTGGAGCTAAATGCTGAATGCTCCTGCTGCTGTTTCCGTATCAGGGCCTCATCTGCGTGACAGCAGTAATGAGGTTGTTGTGATAATACAGGCAGGGCCATTACCACGGGGCTTTTGGCAGAGAAGGGACGGGGTTGTGTGCATCTCATGGGAAGGGAGTGAGGAAGGAGAAGCCAGGCGAATGGCAGGGGCTGGAAAAAAACAAGCTGCACTGAGAGGAGACAAAACCTAGGATTTAAGAGATGAGTTATCTGTCACCTCAGTTTCCCCATGCGTTACACAGGAGTGACAACCCTGTGTTTTATATGGCCACAGGAACACTGCAAACAGGCGTTGAAGAGGGCCCAGGAGGAGAGCAGAGAGGGAGCACGTTAACTTCTCGTTTCTGTGGATATTTGCCATTTTTCTGGGGAAATCTGCCATCAGATCTCCACGTTAAACCAGAGACAAGCAATTTGTGCAATGACTATTTCTTGCTTTCCCAAGGACCAGAATGGGGACAGCCATCACGTGGGAGACCTGAAGATCTCGGGCAAAGAGTTCTTGTCTTTACCTGCAAGGTCAAAGAAATACCGGGAGCACCAACACGCTTCAGAGAGAAGGCCCCAGGGGTCAAGTACATCACCGCTGGATGCCAGCGAAGTCCGAGTCCAGGTGTCACAGTCGGTAGGAAGATGTTTTTTCTCCTCTGGTACTCGTCTTGGAGCTTTGTTTCTAACCTGGTTGGGTGGGTGGCAGTGTGGCCTGTTGGCTGGAAAGCAGAACCTGCGTCTGGCTCTGCTGTTGGCTGTTCAGGCAACTGCAGGCAGATTATTTTTCCTTTCTGAGCCTCGGCTTCACTGCTCATTACACAGAACTGCGGTACCAACCTCCTTGAACTGGTTTGTGAGAGCTTGGTGGTTAGTGGTGCTTGTAACCTTCAGCAGAGGGATGAGTTTAGACCTGAACTTTCCTGAGTTTGGGACTGTCTGGGTGCGATGCCCTGACTTCTAGAAGAACACAGCAGGTTGGGGGCCTTACTTCGTGGAGCCTGACTTGAACAGCCTCCCGAGCTAACCAGGAAAGTGCTTGTTGCCTTCAGGAAACAGAGCCCTTTTCACGTTTTTGGTAGCTTATCAACCAAAATTGCAGATGCCTTTGCCATTTGCAGGTTGCTGGCATGCAGCAAGGCCCTGTTGGGGTTGAACAGCTCTGACTTAGTCTGTCCTTGGCTCCCCGGAAGGTGGTGGACATCTGTGTCTTGGAAAGCTCTCCTTGTGCGTTTTTTACATCTTTAACCCAAACAACTGAGCTGTTTGAGGCTATTATCTTCTGGTTGTGTTGATGTTTAGGTTGTGACTCTGGCAAATACAATGTGCTGGGGAGGTTTCCTGCAGCTGTGCTGGTTTTGTTCTCAGTTCTGGAGGCAAGAGTCACACCCACAGATGCTGCATGTTTCTGGATTGTGGGAGCAGGCTTGGAGGTATTTGAACGCGGTGATTTCAAGTGAGAAGCCCGAAGTCCTCAGCTTGCTTTTTGCCAGGAGATGGATTGTAACAGCAAAACTGTAATGATTGCATGGGTGCTCTGAAGTATTTGGGCTCTTGCTTTATGCTGAGGCTGTAATTCACTGTCACACTGCTGTGATCACGCACTTGAATCCAGGTGGATTAAGTCCAAGCCAGGAAAGGCAGGCCTATTTTCTCTTGATAGTTAAGAAAAGAGATATTAAAAAAATATTTTTGTGCTGGGTATGAAAGGGTCTGAGCTGCAGAGCTTGGGAGGAAGCCTGTCTGTAGAGGGGGGATGCTTAAAAGTGTTTCCTTGTTCCTGGTCTGTGGGTCACAGGTGGAACATGTCCTGCTCTGGGTGTGCGTACGTACACATCCCTTTTGACCACAGGCACTTCTGGTTTTCAGTTCGGTTGTCTGACCGCTGGAGACAGGATTTTTACACCAACTGTTATTTTTTTTTAGACTTCTCTGAGCTGATTCTTCATTCCCAACAGTGTTAGTGGAAATGGTCTAATAGGAAAAGCATTTCCTGCTGCTCACCGGTGCAAACATGATCATTGAGAAGGAAAACAAAGCTCATCTGAGCCAGAAAGGAGACAGCAGTACTGGGGCATCCGAGGGAATATAAAGGCAGAAAAAAAAAACACACTTCTGCCAGAAATAGCTTTGTATTTTTAACTCAGACATTCAGCCAGAAACCGAACAAAAGCCATGCTCCAGCAAGAGTAAGGCAAAAAGCATTCCTCAGGAGTGTAGTTGTGAACGCGCAGGTTATGTCTGTAGAAGAGGCCCTGTGGGACATCGCCAAGCACTAGCGAGCTTGTGACCATGAACACAAGGATTTGGGGAATGTCCAGGCAAGAGCAAGTGAGGGCAGGGACTCACACACCCCGGTCACGGCAAGCACCTTGCAGACACCCGGGGTTTGCTCTTGCAGAGGGGTGGTGCAGGCTCTGCCTGAGTGCTGGGACCTGACTGTTCTCCCGAGGCCTCCTCCCTCTGCGCCCAGGTTTTGTAGAGTTCATTAGCTCTCTACTTGCTCTGGATTTGTGAGCTAAACCCCGACCGTGCAATTTTAGCTCAATTCCCAAGCGTTCCTGGTGCACCTGAGAGTCAAACAGCAGAGAGGGAAAGGACACAGACCTGTGGAGAGATAAGGGAGGTGAAGCACTGTGTCCATGCGTTTGCACAGCCCCAGAGGCCAGGGCTGGAGAGGGGCAGGAGCCTGCTGCTTGCAGTGGTCCCTGCGTGGGCATTTGAGCTTCTGCCCTGCTCCCTGCAGAGCCCGGCAGTGCTGCCAGTGCCGCTTGCCCAGGCACGGAGGTGGTCCATCGCCCCGCTGGCAGCAGTGCCCCACAGCCCCTTCCCATTTCAGCCCCACAAAGGATCAATGTGCAGAGCCCTGCTGCGCCGTGGCTAATGCCAGCTGGTGTCTGCAGACCATGCCCTGCCACACACAAAATGCCCTCCAGAAAGGGCTCTTCTGCCAGGAGAGCGTCTGCAGCGCGTTCTGGGCAGCAAGGCTGGGTCACTTCGGGTGAATCTCGTTTTGTTTCCATGCTCCCACCTGACAGGGACCCCAGCCTGACTCTGCAGCCCAGACCTCAGAGCATTTAAATCAACATCTTCTTACGGGTTCTTGCCAAAAGCGGCGACCCTTTGCCTTGCGTATGGCTTTTGTCCCCGTCTGTCAGAGGGCTACAGAGCTGTGTCAGCCTGTTGTGTGGGAGTGTGGGTGGGCTTTTTTTTTGAAAAGCTCTAATTCCCATCCATGTGAGCCTTTTTAAATGAAATGTGGCGAACTGCACCCAAGACGGGTGGATGCTGGCCCCGAGCTCTGCAGCACAGACCCTTTTTCTCCCTCCCGCAGAGCTGGCTCTGGTCAGGCAGTTCAGACGAGAACCCCGAGGCATTCCTCATTTTGTGAATGCTCGAAACAAAAATCTCCTTTTATTATCCATCAGTAAACAGCAAGTCCTCAATTAGAGGTGAGCTCTGATGGCTGATCTGAGGCGCTGTCACCATCAGAAGGCACCAGCTCAGGCTGTGAGCAGCCCTGCCTGCTGGATGGTGCCCAGGAACAAACCTCCCCGGCCCCACACGGAGCGATGTGGTCTCTGGATAAGTCCTGCAGTCGGTGCAGGCACTGACCTCCTTCCGAAGGAGCCTTCTCACCATGATGGGAAGGTCCCACAGGTAGGTGCAGGGCCTGATTCAGAGCCTCGTGTTCCCTGCCCACCGCTGCCACCACCGCCTCTTGTTTACCTCCGTCCTCCCCATCTGTGTGATGGGGTAATGCAGCTCCCCCGGGGAGCTTACAGAGGCGTGATGATGGCTGTAAAGTTGTTTGAGCTCAGGATGGCAGGAGCTGTGGTGGTGTTATTAGCATTGGCGATGCTGCTGCTAATTACTGAGCTGCTGGGAAACTCCCCATGGGAGGAGGCGGGAGAAGGGAGGGGAGGCAGGGGAAAGTGAAGGGAGGCGAAGTGCACTCGGGGATGGAGAGGAGCCTGGCCCTGCTGGCAGCCCTGTCAGGCCCTGGGAGAAGGGCTCAGCCTGTCGGCAAAGCCGTGGGGATGCTGGCATGGATAGGAGAAGCCATGGCCCAGGTGCTGCGTAAGGTAGGAGAGCGTGCCAGGCCGGCGGGCTAGGCCCCTCCATGCTTGCTGAGGGGGGCTGCACAAAATGGAGCCCGTGCAGGAGGCTTGTGGTGCTGGTGGGGACAGACAGGCTTCGTCACCCCATGGGAAGTGGGGAGATGCCCTACTGGTGGCCACAGGGATGAGAGGGGCTGGTGGCACCCGATCCTGGGGGCCTCTTCACCCTTCCAGCTCAGGCCTGTGTGAGCTCCCAGGGGAAAACACGAGGCTGTGGACGCCCGGTTCTCCCCAGGCAGCTTCAGTCTGGGAAAAGCTGATGGGGGTGACCCACACGTGGTCAGCTTTTCCCCTGTCACAGCAGAGCCACGAGCAGAAGGCCCCGTGCGAGGGCTCGGTGCCTGCCGCCGGGCGGCCGGAGCCTGGGTGCTCCCCGGGACGCGTGCACCTGGCAGCTGCTGGCTCCTCTCTCTTTTTAAAGCAACATCAAAGCAGGAGGTTGTGTACCACATGAAGCTTGCAGACATCAAAGGCTTGGTCATAAATTTAACCCTTTGCTTTTCTGTGGAGAAGGTCATAACTCTCCGGCTCTCGAAAGACTCGGTAACAGCTGTGTTTTTAGAGGGTTGGCAGGAGGATGGGATTTTTCTAACACTTCAGAAGCATCAGGGGACCACAGGTCAGTGAGGCCATGTCCCTCTGTCCCCTACCTGAGAGCAGCCACTATGGAAAAGCAGGGAGAGGGCCCATGGAAGAAAGGGGCTGTGTATTCCTGAAAAAGGCTGCCTGGGACCCTGGGGACCTGCCCCACTTCTGGGCCTTGCTTTCATGGTCAGCACTGAGCTTAAGTCTCCGAGATCAGTGGGACTGTGCACATGGCAGGGTTCGAGGGCTAAAGCACTTCAACGGATCAAGGCCTGACAGCTGGAATAAAGCACGGAGAGAGGTGAGGCTCAAACCCAGTCCTCTCCCCTCGTTGGGGATCGGTGCTCTAGAAACATCCCCGTTTGTGTGGCCACTCCTCGTCCAGTGAAGTCCATCAGCCTGAGGGAGTTCTTCCTCGCTCCTTGAACCTGTCCTCCACAAAGGCCATTTATAGTCAAGAGCAAGAAGAGCCATGTGTGCAGTGAAGGCTTGCAGGGATGGGTTGCCGATGTATTTAGACACCGAACAATCTGCGAGCGTGCTGTAGCTCCAAACATTCCCCAGGACAAATGTTTGTATAAGGCCTGTTTTATGCTTCCAGGGAGAAGCAACCATAAAAGAAGGGAAAACGTTCAGGATGATACCCCCTAAGGCAGGTTGCCAGCGTTCTTTTGATGTTTTTATCTCTCGTGATTTACTGGTTATTGTTAGATGGCAGGAGCAGTGCACGGATCCGATGCTCTTGGCTCACCCTCTGCCTGCTCGCCAAGTGCCAGAGCTCGGTTCCTGGTGTCACGGGGCAGGGAGCAGCGTGGCAGAGCTCCTGCCTGTCTCTGCAGGCTCCTGTGCTGTCCACACAGAGCTCTGATGTCTGGTGCCCCCATCCACCCCCGTGACTTCGTGCTGGACTGCAGAATTGGATGCTGGGCTGCAAGGATAAACGCAGTCTGGGGGGCTTCCTCCCAGACACTTGCATGCCGTCGGCAGAGCATCTTTCTCCTTTTTGTCTTGCATAATTTGAGAGAAGATTAAACTGGCACTACCCTGCAGTCCATTAAGAGCTTGAACATGGCTGCACCACGAGCTTTGGCTGCTCCGTGGCTGCTGTCAGTGCGTCTTCCCTCTCCTTTCCATCTTTTTGCATCTCTCTCTTAAGATGAGGCAAGCTCTTTGTCTTGCATTGATGTGTAAATTAACTCAACGCTAGGGCAGTGCAAATGCACATCCTCCTTTATCTCCGGGCTTTATTGTTTGTTTAACTGCGTGGCTATAATTATGCCATTATTGTTGGTCAGACTTTCTGGTGTAAACGTGCTCTGAGAAACTGAGAGCAAGGGGGATGGAGAGGAAGAGAGAAGCCAGAGCCAGGGAGAGGGAAGGCAGCTGCTGCGAAATTTCAGGCTGTTCCTAAGACACCTCGGAGCTGCCGTGCCGGTGTCAGTCCTGCTGGAACCGGGCAGGCGAAGGCAGAGCTGTGGGTCACTCTTGGCATGCTGCGTCTCCCCGTTCAGGTTGTGGGACCGTCTGTAGGGCTTCGTGCAGGCACAGACCTGGGAGAGAGGCTGCTCAGGACATCTCCTAGCTGGAGGCAGGATGCCCAGGAGAACTTTCTGGAGGGCTCGAGTCTGACCAAGGTAAGGTTGCCTCCCCAGCATCATCTCAAACTGTCTGCCCTTCCTGCCCGTGAGTCTTTTTGTTAAGCACTGGGGCTCTTCTTTCCTTTAGCTCCTGTTTTCTGACCAGGTGGGCTGGTTGCTGCATGAGCCAGGACAGATTTCAGAAACGCTCCCCCAGATCTAGAGGTGCAGCAGAACCAGAGCCACGACTCTGGTGAGTTTTGCAATGCAGAGTCCTGACGTGCTGTTCCTCACTGGGACTTTCAGGTAGCATGGGAGGCAGGGAAATGAGCAGGATGATAGAAAATCTCTGCAAAGTGACTGCACAGAGGTGGGGAGGGGAGGCAGTAGCGTTTTCTGGCATGTGCTGCCTCTGCTGCATTCGCTGCCTCAAAGGTAAATTATCAGTTTCTCCCTTAAATATTAACAGCTGCCAGGTAATGAATTCCCCCTCGCTGTTTTATAATGGCACTAAAATTGGGATTTGCCTTGGTTTTCTCTGTAATTATCCAATGAGAGCGTGTGAGTGCGAGGGAGGTAGGGCAGAGCTGGGCCTTGCAGGCTCTGCTGCTGTGAGCGCCGTGTCTGGGGGCAGCTCTGCTTTAACCACCCCGTGCAGCGGGGTCTCAGGGTGTCTTTGCTCAGAGCAAGGGGCTCTTCAGATCCGGGGAGACTCAGCTGATGCTGTTTCAGTTTTGAGAAGGTGACTGCTCTGCTACAGAGCCCCTGAAGGTGCTGGGAATTGTTTTGACATTTCTTAATCTAAGCCAGGAAAAGGCAAGGCTATCAGCTCTGGGTCATCTATGAATACTTGAACCTTTTGGGTAGAGAAGCAGGAGACTGCGTGCTCAGGGCCACCCTCTCCATATTCTGTGCTGAACAGAAGCAAAGCTGAGGTTTTGCTGCCCCTGTCCCTTGATATCAGCCCCTCGGCTTTGTCCTCAGTGAGATGCTCCAGCATGAAGGTCCCAGAGATAAAGCAGAATTCCTTGTCTGCCTTCCTCTGGGGTATTCTCGTTGTTGGGACACCCTCTTGCTGCTGCTTCCCACTACGCCTGTCTTGTTTTTCCTCCTCCCAGACCGAGGTCAGGTTGTGAATCAAAGCTGTGCTGCGGACAGGAGATGGAAGGCAGGATTTAGAGCAAGCCTTTGCTTGTGCACCAACCACGAGCAGAAGAGAGGAGCGCAGCCAGCTGCAGGACGGCTGTCCCAGCCCTCAGCTCTGCTGAAGTGACACCAAGGACTCCAGGTCTGGTGCTTCTCAGGTCTCTTGGGCTGAGGATTTGGGGGACTGTATGAAAACACATCTGAGACCCCATATTCCAGCTGTAACCAGATAAATGTGGGGCGTAGTTTTGGAGCTGGGAACTGCAGGAAAGAGGCTTTACCTGAGGGATCTGATCTGATCTGGTTGTCCAAGGCCTTTGCTGGAGGTTAGGACAGGAGATCTGCAGCCCGGCAGGCCCAGCGGTCCGGAGCTGCCTAACCCAGCTACCAAAATACATCCTTTTTCCCCTGACTCACTGTAACCGGGTTTTCAGTTATTGGCGCTTTGAAGCCGTAATTGAGGTCTGCTCTCCTCCTCGCACAGCCTTTTCTCCCGGCAAATTGTCAGCCCTCAAGTGGTATGAGACAGTAAAAGAGATGTTACACTCACCATTTCCTAGAAACTGTCGCTTTAAAGAGAACAATACTAAAAAGAGGGATGAATTGAATCCAGACCCGGAGCCATAAAACTCCAAATGTTTGACTTCTCTCAAAATCTGGAACTCTTCATTCATTTCTAGGGTCTGTGCCGTGCTCGGGGCACTTTGTACATTCGCAGTTCCGGCTTCTCACATTTAATAAACTGCACATGCCTGAAAAGCTTTAAAAAACAATCATAGTCCAAGCTCTCTGTGGATGTAAATCAGTGTAACTTTGGTAAAATCACAGGGAAATGCACACTAATGATGCATTTCAGGCACAGCCTGAGTCTGGGGTTAACGTGGCAATCACGAGGCTCTGCTCGCACCTAACCCTCAGCCTCCATCCACGTTTCCCATTAGCAGGGCTATTTTCAAGCCTCCCCAAAGCAATTAACACCAATTAATCTAAAAGAACCTAAATACTGTTGTTTTTTTCAGAGTCCCTGGCTTCTCCCTGTTCCACGTGTGGCCCCAGAAGGCTGCAGCCTGAACCTGTCAGAGAGCTGAGCCCTCCTGAGGGCTTCACGTGCTTCTTGGGGAGGTGGGCACGTAGAGAGGGCCCCAAATGATCCCATGGGATCCGCCTGTTCCAGCCTGGGTCGTGGTGCCTGTGCCGCAGAGAGCGCTGCCCTTCCTGGGAAGGGGAACCGGCCCCTGCAGCTCGATGCAGCCCCTCTCCGTGGTCAGCAAAGAGCAAGACCGCTGAATTAGGTGTATTTGGGGTGCAGGAGGTGCGAGGCCCGTACCCCTGTTAAACAGCGCCTGCCAGAGCAAGGCCTGCCTTCTGCTGATAGGAGAAGCCGTTCCCATGTTTGCCTGTGAGTTTTGCCTCCCTGGCTTCAGCTCTTCTGCCTGACCAGCGCCGAAATCACAAACCCACAGGGACCTGCCCCAGGATTCTCCCTGCCCCCAGCAGGGCCAGGGTTTCGCGTTTTGTGGGTGCCTTGCCGAGCGCGGCCTTGATCTCGAGCGAGGCCTTGAGGCGTCGCTGGGGTAGGAGTAAATACTAATTAAGATTTGGGCGTTTGCTGCAGCGGGGGGGTGTTTATCCGAAGGGTGGCTGCGCGTCGGGTGTGTGCAGGCACAGCGACCCACCTCACCCGCTCGGCACCACCGCTGGCACGGCGCTGTCTGCTCAGCTGCTTCGTGAAACAGCGCTGTGCTGGGAGCAGGGAGGTGTCTCACAGCAGCACGGTTCTGGCAATCCAGAGACACGCAGGCTTTTTTTGCAAAGGGTTTTGCAAAGCGCACTGCCAGTGCTTTCCCATTTGAGGTGCACGGTGTGAGGTGGGGAGCGTTGGATGATTTCGGGGCCTCAGGAGCGTGTCCTTGGGTGGCGGCGTCCTCACGGGCACCTCCCTGCTCTGCCACCGCCTGCTCCTCGGGAGATAGTGAGGTCTGCTGGATGGGGCCGGGGGTTGAGAGCCCCTTATTAACCTCAGCATCTGTGCTAATTAACGGAGAGCACGGGTTACAGCGTCTAAAGCAATGGGATTATTTCAGTTTAGCAAATGACTGCCGCTCAGCTGAGACCCGAGAGCCGAGCACGGTCCCAGATCCACCCTCACTGACTGCAAAGGAAATTGCTGTGAGGGGTTTTGGCCGAACCATCCTGCTCGCTGCCTGGCTGTGTTACGGTGTGCACAGGTTTGGGAACTCGCTGCCTGCCGGCAGCTGCCCATGGGCTGTGTGGGTGTGAGCAAGCAGGGCAGGATCACTCCCACTGCTGCTATCGAAGCGCTCATCAAGGCTTCTGCTGGGCTAATTGGGCTCTGGAGCTGCCCGGCTGCTGTCCTGGACTAGAGGGGCTGACCTGGAACGGTAACGCTTCCACTTTGTGTCCTTGTTTGATAGTTTTAAGCTTTGAGGGCTAAATCTAGGCTTGCGTATTTTTATTAAGTGGTGACAGGGACACCCAACCTGACCTGGTAAGCGCTGTGAAAGCCGATGTGGAAAAGTTGCTGCTTTAACTTCAGAATCTGACAGGTATTGGAGGAGTTGTTTGAGCACACCAGCGAAGGTATTGCCTCCCAGAGAGAAACCAGTAACGATTTCCATGCCATGGATGTGCTGGTCTCAGCAAGGGCTGGCTGCCTGGGCTGTGATTTCAGGGCAGGTCACAGCGTAGCTGGGGGAAAAGCACAAAACCAGAATTAACGGGGCTGCTGAACAAAGGCACCAAATCCCAGCACGTCGGCAGTCGGAGCGGCGCTGTGAGTAGCAGAGGTGTTGGTAGCACTTCAGCCAGGCGCCCACGCAGATGCTCCACGCTCTGTCTCGAAAAATAAGCAAAAAAAAGGGGAATTGTGACCCCGCCGGTGATCTGAAGGTGTGGATTTCAGCCACGCGTGGCAGCTGGGCAGGCTCCCAGCAGGTCATCAGTTGGTGTATTAGGGAAGGAGGCAGCGTGGGTGAGTTATTTTGATTTTGTTTGAAACAATAAAAGCCGAGTTATTTGAGATCTTCACAACAGAACCAGCTTTTAGCACCAGCGTTTATAGGGATGAGTGGGCGAGTTGTTTAAAGGGGAGGAAAAAAAAAAAGAAATCTTTGAAAACAGTCCAAGGCAGGGTGATAATTTCTTCCTACAAGGGAAGAGCGCCGGGCACGTCCTGTGTCTGAGGGCTGTGAGCGGCTGGGCCTCGCCGGGTGCTTCGGAGGAGCTCCCACCCTCGGGAGCTGCAGGTGGTGTCTCCGCAGACTGTGGCTCTTCCCCTGGGTCCCCTTTGCTGCCTCCGAGACCCAGGTGCAAAAATTCATTTTCTCTCCCCGTTCCAAGCGCCCGATCCGCTCTGTGCAGGCTCTGCAGCCACATTACCCCTGATGTCTCCGTGTCGTGCTCACCACCAGCCTGATGCCCCTCAGCCCTCCTGGGTCGTGGTGTTCAGGTAGGGGCCAGAGGCTCGGCTGTGGCTCTTTTCCCTCCCTCCCCTCTCCGCCGAAGCCCCCCCGGCTCAGCCCAGCAGCTGCAGCCCAGATGTGCGCAGAGCTCACGCGAGCTGCGGCACCGCTGCTCGGCACCAGGCACACCCGGACCCTGCACCGAGCGTGTCGGGGAGAGGTGTGCCATGCCCTGCCCCGTCCCTGCCCCTCCTTTCCCTCTTCATTCACTGTTTTTCATTTTTTTTTTTAATTAAATCAGCGGGGTCTGGCTCCTGTATCAGCAGCAGCCCCCCTTGGAGGCTGAGCCCCGCGGTGCCCCCGTGGGCTGGCAGCAGGCTGGGGGTACCGGGCCAGGAGCCCTCATTTCAGGCCCCAGAAGGTCTCCACGCTTCAGACTGTACTGCATGACTCCTGGAAATAAGTGTGCAAGGCAGGGGCAGTGCCCAGAAGCTGCATTTGTTGAGGGTGAGGAAATTCCCCGTGTTGGCAATGACAGAGGAGAGCGAGGTGTAAGGGGGCGGTGGGGTGGAGAGCAAACGGGGCTCCCCATTCTGCTGCTGTGGCCTTTGGACAGCTGCTTCTCTTCCCAGTGACCCGTCACACAGCCACGAATTCCCATTTCTTATTTTCCCCTTTCATAAAGGAGAGGTAAGAAGAGCTCTTTGCCTGTTGCAAAGCGTTTCCATCCTTTCCGTGCTTAAAATCTTTTTACGATCAGAAAATTCCCCCCGCTCAGCAGGGATACAGCTAAACGAGGAGCTGCTTGTGGCTGAGGATCTTCGGTTTTTGCGATGAGACAACAAAAAAAATAAAACATGTATCTAATAATACGTGGAGCAGGAGGACTACCAGGAGCTAAAAATGGCCCTCCGATATTTTGGAGCTTTAAATTCGAGCGCTTGCACGGTGCTGGGGTGCGCACAGGGCGCTCGGGCCGTGCTGCGTGTGCAGATGTAGTCGGGCAGAACGGCTCCCGGTCTATTTTTAAGGCAAAGTGTGCGTGGCGGGTAGGAGGCGAGGAGGTGGAAGGAAAGCTAAATATTCACATAGCTGCGCTCCGTGTCTTCGAGCAGCATCTAATAGCGCCCGGCTCGTGGCGGCGGCGAGGTGAGGGCGATCTGAGCGCGGCTCAGCCCACCCCACCACCCCCCCCTTTGGTGCCAGGGCACCCGAGGGGCTGCGGGAGGAGCGTGGCGGTGGCAGGGCTGCAGTTTTCAGCTGGCTCAGCACCGAATCGCCGGCGCTGGCTGCAGGGTGCACATGGCTGCGAGCTCGGCATAAATCTCAGCTCCGGCAGCGGCGGCGGCTGGGGAGAGCTCGCGGCTGGCGGTGGGAGCTGAGGAGAGCAGCGAGGAGCCAGCCCCCTGCCAGGGAAAGGGGGCTCCTGCTCCCGGCCATGTGAAAGCTGGAGCCTGGAGAAGAGCTGGCTGCGGAGGTCAGTGAGTAAAGCTTTTGGTTCGCTTCCGAAAGGCGAGAGGCTGGCTCGGAGGAGGAATACGCAGAGAGAAAGGGGATTTACTTGGGCTGGGGCTCGGCTGTCACCTGCGTGCGCTTTTAAACTCGGCTGCTTTGTAAAGTTTGCAGATGGCTTCGTTTTGCACTTTTTATTATTAAGATTTTTTTGCAACTTTTCGGGACGGGCTGAGGCAGTGCCCAGAGCTGCTCCCTGTCCCGTGGCCGCCCCGGTTCCCGAGCGGGCTGGGAGGGAAGGGGGCTGCCGAGGGAGCCGAGCCTCAGGAGGGGCAGCGGCAGAGATCTGCTGCCCTCGGCAAAGCCTTGCGTGAGTTTAGCAGCTTCTCTGAATCCGAGGATGTCACCGAGGAGAGGAGACTCCGGTGGCTGGGGACAGGGGGAGCCCCGCTCCTGCTCTCAGGGCAGATGCTCCGGACGCTTCACCTCCCTCTGAACCAGGCGGAGGCGTTTGGCCAGGGCTTTTCTGTGCCTCCAGCCCCTCTGGGAGGCTCTCCCCAAACCTCTCCCTGGTGCCTGCCTCCAGCAGCTGCTCAGTGAGGTGGCAAAGGCAGCTCCGGTGCCGGGATTTGGGGTGCAGGACAGCGGTGACGGTGCTGCTGGCTCCGCAGGGTGATGCCAGGAGGCAGCGACACCACGTGCAGGGCATCAGCAGGCTCCTGCCTGGGGATTTAGGGTCTGCTGCCCGAACTGAGAGCAGGTGAGTGGTTGGGGTGCATCTGGTTTATAGGGGAAGAGTCAGACAGGCACGGCATGAGGCTGTGGATGTGTCGGGGTGGATATCTGCCGGGCCCGGGGCAGGTGGGCGCTGCTGTAACAGCGGGCAGGAGTTTGCCAGGAACTGTCTGGCGGGGACAGAGAGCTGGGTCCCAGCTCTGTCACTGCGGGACTCGGGCAAGTCCCTTCGGCTCCAGGTCATCTCCTCACCGAAATGCAACGAGGAGGAGATGGACGAGGAGCCGAGGAGGTGCTGTCTGAGGGGCTGCTGTAGGAGCTGCGGTGGAAACCGCCCTCGAGGGCTCCTTGTGCTGGGGCAGGTTTCAGAAAATTGAGCCTGGGCTGGAGGAGCCCGCTGCAATCAGCCCGTCTGCCTTCGCTTGGTGGCTTTCCTGAATCAGAGTGAAAACGGCCAAAGGGGTTTAAAGGCAGCGGAGCCTCTTCTGGCTTGGTTTTGCTTTGCCTGGGGTTGTTTCAGCCTTCACCTCGCCTGCCCACCCCGAGCAGCCAGCCTGGGGGATTTCCCCCTGAAATGCTGCAGACAGAGCCGGGCAGCCCGGCACGTCTGAGCCAGGGGCTGCGGGAGGCTTCATTCAGCACCTGTAGGAGTTTATTGGGGATGTGCACTTGTGGGGCAGTGACCGGCAGCATTGATCTCTGCTGCCCTTTGCAGGCACACCAGCACACCCCAGGCTGTGCTGTGCAGCACAGAGGAGGTTTTTTTTGTCTCTGAAGGAGGCTGGCTGGAGGGAATGGCTTCTGGTAGGACTCAAGTGCTGGAGGATGGGGAACGAGGCCAGGTGCAGGGTGGCCATGGGTGAGAAGTGGCCCCGGGGCTGCAACACAAAGCCCCTGCCCAGGAACCCTTCAGGGCTCCAGGTCTGGGGTCCCCCTCAGTTGTTGTTTGTGCTGCTGTGGGGCTGGTGCTCGGCCCCGTTAGGGGATGCCCGGGCTCTGGGGCCCTCCTGGGCACAGCTCGGCAGCAGACGGTGGCCCCGTGCCATGACATGCGTCCATCCACCCGCACAGCTCCGGCCTCGGGGCCAGCAGCAGCCGCACAGGGAGCCAGGCGCTCCGTGCGATGTCCGTTTGGGCGTTTTAATTAGGTTTGGGATGGGGATGGAGGCTCTGTGGCTGGGGCGGCACCCCCCAAACCAGGCTGGCACAGGAGGTGCCCCCGCACGGGGCCAGCCCCATCCTTCACTCATGCCCCGGCCACTCTCGTACTGATTGGGGCTGTCCCTGCCTCCCCCAGGTGTTCTGGGCACAGATCCTGGCACAGCAACACGCAGCTCCCTGCAAGGAGCCCCCCAGGGGGGGATCCCGGCTCTCCCGGGTGCTCAGCACCTCGCTCTGCCCATCAGAGCCCTGGGTGGATCCCCTCCTTGGCACCACTCCGAGGGAGCTCGCTGTGGATGAGCAGCCTGCCTCCGCTCCCCTGAAATTTGGGGCACGCGAGCCAAGGCAGCAGGGCTGTGATCGGGGTGGCTCAGCCTTGCTTTAAGCCCGAGCACGTTTTGGTTTCTGAAAGTGCTGGCTCCGAGGGGCTGTGCCCGCTCTTCGGTCAGAGGTTCGGAGAGGTGAGAGGGGCTTTGCCCCTCCCCGATCGGCTCCCGCGTTGCCAATGTTCCTCTCTGGCCTGCTGCTAATTTTGACGCTGCCCTAAATAGAAGCTGAGTGCATCTCATCTGCTCCGCTTCGCATACGGGAAAATTGTTTGCCTTCGTTTACAGGATCCGAGCTGCGGCTTTAACCCTGTCGGCACACGACCCTTCCTGGCGGATGCCTCTCTTATTGCTGTCTAATTTTACATCCCGTTGTGGGAGGCTCCTCAGAAGGCTCTGCTGGTCCCGCTCCCTGCCTGCTGGTTCACCCAGCACACGGCCCAGCCAGGACTGGAAGCAACACGGCAGCTCGGGGAGGCTGCTGAGTGCTGAGCCTTGTGCAGCACGACTTAAATATATCCCCGTCTGGTGCAAGGTGCTCATTTGGGGATCGCAGGCGAGGGCTGCTCCCGAAGGGCTGTAATTTGGTGGCATTTGCAGTCCGGTGATTGCTGCTCGCGGGGTGCTGCGAGCGGCACAGCGGAAGGAAGCGCAAAGGGCAGCGCGAAGGGCAGTGGCCTAAAAATGTTAAATTTAGTGGGGTAGAGAGGGAGGCTGGAGCTGAGGCTCAGCTGGGCACACGGCAGCACTTCACAGCCAGGGCTGTGGCCGTGCTGGAGGCTCTGGGGGCCTGCAGCTCTCCGTGGGTGCCCCTCTCACCACCTGCAGGTGAGAAAAGAGGAAAAGAAAGAGGCTGCTCCAGAGCCGAGGGCACAGTGGGACCGAGTAGCAGTGACCCCAGCAAGCTGCGGGCACAGCCAGGAGCTGGCTCTGGGCACAGGACAGGGCAAGGCACGGCCACGGCCACACCACCACGGCCACACCAGGCTGAGCCATCACACACGGGGCAATATTTGGGGCGTTCTGACTCTGCTGCGTTTCGTTGTCTTTCCAGAAGATCAACCGGACCCCTTCGGACGAGGAATGCTTCTTTGACCTGCTGAGCAAGTTCCAGAGCAACCGGATGGACGATCAGCGCTGCCCGCTGGAGGAATGCCCATCGGAGGCTGCCGAGGCAGGCTGCCACACCAGTCCCTGCCCTGGAAGAACGGATCTGTAAGCACTGATGCGTTCAGAAGCTGCTGGTACCAGGGGGTGATGCTGCTCCCACGGCGTGGCAGGCTGGCGTGGTTTTATTGTGCAGCTTGTGATGTTTTCCCCAAGCCTCAGCTCCCTGAACCTAGCAATTATTATTTTGTTGTTGTTGTTTGCAATCTCCGCCACTGTGCAAGGCGTACAGAAACCTTCCTGCGGTAATGGTTGCTGAAGCAAAAGCTGGAGAAGGTGAACTGAGGCTTGGGGAACAGCCTGGCAAGAGAAATGCAGAATATACCGGGAGTTTTTTCAATCTTTTGGAGGTCTTGTCTGATGCGCTGAGGCTGGCAGGAGGAATTCTGCCTCTGCCAGCATCTGCAGGTGGGAGATGCTGGTGGTCATTGCTCAGGGAGCCTTGGGAGAGCTGAGAGCTGGGGCAGCACGGACCTGGAGGGGGTTTCATAGGCAGGGTAAAGCAACACCAGGTTGTCTCAGTGTTACCGTGGAGGAAGGACTGGGTTTTGTCCAGTTGTTGGATGCTGTGGTGAGAGGTGTCACAGAAATGGGAGGATGGAAAGTAATAGGGAGCTCCCAGCACGCAGAGAGCTAACTCACTCGTAGGAAGAGCACGGGTAGATTGAAGAAGCCGCCTGACGAGTGGCTTGGCTAGGAGAGGCAGAGATCAGGGCTGTGTCTGTGCTTTGGCTTTGTGTCCTTTTTTTCGCTGTTGTGCTGAGGTCCTTTGTTTAAAGCAAGCTGGAGAGAAGCACTGAAACGTGCGGGTCCCACTGGTGTGCTTAAGCACCACCACAGAGGGCTCAAAGCCCTTCAGTCAAAGCGGGGGGGCTGTTTACCAGCTCCCAAACCACCACGGAGCCCCAAGAGGGGAGGAGCAGACCCCGACCTCTGTCTGAGTGCAGCCAGGAGCGCAGCACGAAGCCGCTCAGGGTGCAGGTGCCAGGGGCTGAAGCAGCGGCCGGAGCGAGGCAGCGCCCAGGTGAGGCTGTGGCGCAGGAGGAGCGCAGGGTGGCTGCGAGGTGAGTGGTTCTTTCTGTGCTAAAAACAGGCTGGAAATGAGCAGCGCTTTTTCAAGATCCACGTTTCTGATACAGAAGTGCATTCAGCTTTAACAGCTGTGTAATTTAGGAGAGTGAGTTTAAAATCTGACGCTTTATAAAGACTGCGTGAGTAGGCACATGTTCTGTTCAGCTGTCAGTTGGACTCTGAGCTTTTGGGACATGTTATTTGCAAGGTTTCTGTGTGAGCTGAAGGGGAAGAGACGCGGCTTGGCGGCAGCGCTGAGATTATTCTGCATTTCTGTCCCTCCGCAAGCCGGGGCCCCAGGAATTGCACCTGGTGGCAGGAGACTGGGGGCACCCCCAGTGCTTTGTGCTCGCTGGGTGTTTGGGTTTCTTACGCTTTGGTTTTCCTGGCTGGGGGCTGACTCGGTCGCTTCGCAGCGGTCCCAGCGTTGCTCATGGGCGAGGTGGGGGCTGCCTGATGGGCACAGAAGCCGGCGTCCAGCCCAGCTCAGCCCTGTAAGGCTCCCCTGGGTGAACGGGATTTTGGGGGTGAGGATTCGGGCTCTGAGGGAGCAGAGCCGTGACCCTGCTGCTCCTCTCCCCACCCGCAGCGCAGTCCTCCCTGATGGCGTCCCCGCAGACGGAGGAGTTCTTTGATCTCATCGCCAGCTCGCAGAGCAGGCGGCTGGACGACCAGCGCGCCAACGTGGGCAACCTGCCCGGCCTGCGCATCACCCACAACAACTTGGGGCACCTGCGCGTGGAGGGGGACGCTCAGGAGCCCGGCGACGAATTCTTCAACATGCTGATGAAGTGTCAGGTACTGCGGGACTCGATTCTCCTCCAGCAGCACGTGCTGCCCCCCCCCGATCCCACCCGCAGCTCTCATCCCACTCCTAACGCCTTTTTTCTCCCCCCGCAGTCCTCCAGGATCGATGACCAGCGCTGCGCCCCCCCCGACTCCATCCCCCGTGGCCCCACCATGCCAGACGAAGACTTCTTCAGCCTCATCCAGCGCGTCCAGGCCAAGCGCATGGATGAGCAGAGGGTAGATTTGGCCTCAGCCCAGGAGGAGGCAGCAGAGGAGCAGCAGAGGCCTGGTTCCAGCTAAGAACGGGGGTTCAGGTGGGGGGGTTTGGTTTCATTTCAGTTTTTTTAGAGAACTCCGTGTAGGTGGTTTCAAAGCCGAGTGCTCCTGCGCTTCCACAGACTTCTCCCAGGAGTGCCCCGAGCTGCACGTGGCTGCTCTGCAGAGGCAGCACCACAGAAGGCCCACGGGACCAGGGAGGGGTTTTAAACAAGGGGCTTTTTTAGGACGTGCAGCCACGGTAACACTGGGCCCAGCACCAGGGAAGGAGACTTTGGCGGTCCCTTTGCTCGGCACCTGAAAACCCAGGAACTGGTGCTGGCAGCCAGAGGAGGAGCCCGGAGCAGGTAGTGAAAGCCAGCCTTGATGTCCTTTATTTCCAGAACACTTTTAATTTAACGGGGGAAGGGAAGAGCACCTTTTTCATTTTTCAAGTCCTCCTGTCTCGTTTGCATCACGAGGTGACGGATTGCTCTGGATCCTTTCCTGGAATCTCTTGCTCAACTTTGATCTTTCTAGAGGAGGAAATGAGCTCAGGTCAGCGGCAACACAGCTCCTTTCAACCCTGAGCCCTGGTCCCCCCACTTTGAGGTTTGTTCTGGGGTTGCTGTGAACTCTGGGGGCCCTGCGCTGTCCCTCCCCTTCGCTTCCCCAGCTGCTCCTGTGCAGAGCTGTACTGCAACCTCCTGAGCAGGACCCAAGGCTCTCCCACCCATAGCTTCAGTGGAATTTGGAGACCCCCTGCCTGGGACAAAGCCTGAAAGGTAACTGCCAGCTGTGCAGCCCCAAGGAAGGGAGGAAGAAGGTCTCTGCCCATCTGCTCAGCACAGAAAACAAACAGGCAACGCATCGCTTCTGCTGCAGCTGGGCCAGAAGCCTCGTACAGGATTGAACTGAGTGCCCGAGGCAGAAACCTGCACTGGGCACTGAGCTGCTGCGAGAGCTACAAAGCCTTCTGGTCACGGCTTGCGATGCTCCCTCGTGCCCAGCAGCAGTGGGGGCCAGCAGCCCTGCCCTCCGCCTTGTTCCTCCTGACAGCAGGGCTGTGCTGCTGCCTGCCCCGCAGAGCTGCTCCCACACGGATCTGCGTTTACTTACATTTCCTTCTGGTGAAACTGGGAAAGCGAGCCCGGAGAGGAGGCCAGCAGCCATCTCCTTCGAGGAGGTGGAATGGTTTTTTCTTTGCTTGACCTGAGAGGCAATCTTGGACTTGAGCACCTCCAGCAATGAGGTCTGCCAAAGCAGGTGTGTTCCTACGGAGCACAAATCAGCACTTTCTGACTGAAACGCATTTGACGGAAACATTTCCAACCAGCAGTTGAGATTTTTAGACCAGTGATGCTGCTCGTCGGGCACTCAACCTGCCTGCGCTGAACATTTGGAGGGGAAGCTGTGTTTTGCCTGCCACCAGGGAGCACTCACCTGCTGCGTGCATCGCTGGGCTGAGGCTCAGCCTCCTGCCTGGGGCAGGTCGGAGCTCTGGAGCCAAGCCAGGAGGACCTGCCCGCCACCTACGCACCCACCTCGCCTGCATTTGTCCAGAGGAAGACAGCGCCGAGGATGCCAATGACTTCTTGAGCAGCTGCAGGCCCCGGGCTGTGCAGCTCAGCCAGGTGGCGAACTGGAATCTGACCATGAAGCTTTCAGAGGTGTTAATTATTTGCCATATACTTGAATGTATTGAGCTTATTTATTTTTTACATGTGCATTTGCTAATGTCATTTTGATGGGGAATTTCCAACCCACAGGTACTTTTTTTCTAAAAAATAATCTGCCAAATGAATTAATATATTAGAAATGAATACAGCGCGAGGGAAAGGGGGGGGTTGTGCTTAATAAATATTTGTGTCTAAGCTTCAGTGACAGAAGTTAATTTCCACTATTTTTTTGGCCAGCAGAGCTCACGGGGGTCCTTTGGGATGGGACTGGGGGTGCGTGGTGGGGTCTTGTGGAGGACATCACCACGTGGAAGTGTTAAGAAAAAGGGTGTGTGCATCACCCCTATGTCTCTTAGGGAGCAGGGTGCTGTAGGATACAAAGCCCTGAGCCCTCCTGCCCTGTCTTGGTGCATCCCTGGCACCTTCCCCAAAATCTGTGTCTGGTTTCCCTGCTGGGAGCTGCCAGAGGAAAGGGCAGCAAGCGCCTGGCATAAGCTCTCGGTGAGGATACTCCCAGAGCAGCAGGCAGCAGCACGAGCTCGTTCCAGCGCAGCAGGGAGGTGCAGGCCGTTAGACTGTGCTAGAACGGGGGCCTGGGAGCAGCAGATTTTTGGCTCCTGAGCCCTGTGAGGATAAAGCCAAGTCACAGCTGCTCCTTCCACGCCTGGCTAACCTGTGCAGGCTCCTGCCAGTCCTGATCAAAGCTTAATGTAGAGCCACCAGCTCCTTCTCATCAGGCATTCTCAAGTTGCTCAGTGCCTGGCCACAAGCAGGCTCTGTGTGGGACCTGAGGCCAGAACCGTGCCCCAGTTCTGCAAAGGCTGCCAATTCCCAGGATTTGAAACAGGTGAAATTCCTAAAAGCAAGGGATTGGGCTCACCTGCTGTCTCGCTGTCCTTAGCAGCTGAGGAAGGGCGCACCATTCACCAGAAAATGTCTCACAGAGCAGATCCCCACTGTGAGCAGGAGCAACAGCTGCTACTGCTGCTCCAGGCCCTCGGCCTGTGCTGGTTGCTGCTGTGCTGGAGCCTGGAGTAACAGAGAGCAGCGTTACTGTCCGACAGCAGTGGGTGTGCAGAGCACAGCCCTTCCTCCCTTCCTCCCTTCCTCTGGTAGGGCACAGCTCGCTGCTGCTGACACCCGCCGGGCAGGCGCGGCACTGCCGAGCTCTGTGCAGCACAGTGCAGGGAGCTGTGCCCAGGGCAGAACAGGGAGGAAAGCTGAAAGAACAGGCCCTGTGCGAGCAGCACGAAGGTGAGTCACTTCCCAGCCCCCTGCGCTGCTGCTCGCAGGAGGGATTTACCTGCCTGAGCCCGTCAGGAAGGCGGCGCGGTGCCGCTGAGCCCCCCGCAGCACACCCACGGGTGGCAGGGGCTGTAACGCCATCGCTGCACGCACAGCGATGCGCTCGGGCATCTGAGTGCAATAAAAAAGAAAGGGGGTGTTCAGAGAGGCGGAAAGCAAGAGGCACAACAGCGCCCGTTTTGCAGAAGAGCCCTCGTGGGATAGGATTCGGGAACAGAATCCCTCCCTTGGCAGCCCCAGGGAAACGCTTTGAGGACTGTGCCAAAGGTTTGCAGCGCGTGCTGGGAACGCTGCCTTGCCCCCCTCACATCCCCAGCCCTCCTCTGTGCATCCAACACCCCCATCCCAGCGCTGTCACTCACCGTGCCCTGCTGCACCAGGCCCTTGTGGCACTTTTCCCCCATTGTGACAATGCTCCAGCTCAGGAGGAAGCCTTTTTTCTCTTCTCTCTCCCAGTCCTTTGGCTGAAGGAAGGGCTGCTGGGCTCCTCCTAGACAAAGCCTGCTCACTGTGTCCTCTGTAACAAAAAGAGAGGAGTTTACTTTTTTTCAGAAGAAAAAAACATCATCAAAACAGAGCACATTTTTTAAATACAGTCTGTTAGCAACAAATCCTTTTGTTTTACACACACAGTCCCTCAGAGAAGTGCAACCCTCTCCCTTCCAGCTGAAAACCCCGGAATGGTTTGCCACAAAAGGTGCCCATTCCCTGGGGGCTGCCCTCAGGCCCCACCCTGCCTCTGCAGCGCTCTCCCTGCACCCACACCCCAAAGATCTGTCCGTCCCGTGCGAGCTGCTGCCGCCTGCCCTGTCCTCGTCCTGCCAAAACCACGTCCAGCAGCACAGCCAGGCCCTGCTCGTGGTGCTCCAGGACCACCCTGCTGCCCTGTCTCAGTGCCAGGGACAGACTTTGCTGCAGTTTTTTACTGTAACAGAGCAAAAATTAGCGTAATCTTTCCATACAACCATAGCTAGGGGTACAGTAACGGGTACGAAAGGTACGGAAAACAGCTAAAACCTGGCTTTTTTAGTACTAACTGTTTCCAAGACAACGCAGAGCCTTCCCAGCGGCTCGGTGCCACCCCGTCACAGGCAGCAGAGGCACGGCAGCAGAGCGCTGTCTGCTTGGAGGTAACACAATCATCCCCCTTCCAGCAGTGCCAGCAGCTCACAACAGGGCGAGCACACAGCAGTGTTCCAGGACTCCTGGTTCTTAATTACCACGTGGATCGCTCCAGCATCTGATTGTGTCAGAGCCGTGTTTCTTTAGGACATGAGCACGCACAAACCTAGCTGCGGGAGGAAGCTCCTGCCCTTCAAAGCTGTTCCATCACTCTGAACTGAGGTACCTACAGGAAAACATGAATATTTGAACCATGCTCACAATACAACACGTATAAAATTACTGTGAACACTTCAGGTGAACAAAAAAAACTCATTAACACTCATTAATACATGCAATGCCTTCAATGAATACTTGAATGATTAAAGGCCACGGACACCTGGATGAGTTTGGCTGCAAGAAGTGGGTTCGTTCAGCTTGGAGGCACAAAGGCAGAGGGATTTTAGGGCTTTCTGTAGCTCTGTGGCAGGATGGCGTGGAGGATCCAGAGCCAAGGCTCTTCTCAGCAGTGCAGTGCTTTGAAGGAAGGCAATGGGCACAGGCTGAAACCCAGGGCGGTTCAGTTAGGCATGAGGATTTCTGGCATTCTTTTACTAAGGGATTGGTCAAATACCAGACCAGGGCTCCAGAGGCTGTGGGATCTCCACCATCCTCAGATACTCAAGCCTAGGCTCTAAGTATCTTTAACTGAGCCTCCTTTGAGCAAGGTGGTTGGATTGAAACCTCCAGAGGCCTCCTCCAACCTACGTTACTTTTTGATGTCAAGTTTAAAAGCGTAAGAGGACACTTCACAGTGCTTCAGGCTGCTGGACCTTAAGATAAGCTGAACTTTTACCCAGGCAGAGAGAGGAAGCCCTACAAACGTGCAATATGATCACCTTGCAGCCTGATTCATCGCTACCCAACGTTACGCACTGGTAAACACCTACATTTTGCATTTATGAAGTTATTATTTTTTGTTCTAGCTGATCTTAACGTGCAGCAGTAGCATTAATAAGCACCTCAACGTCTGTCAAATAAGACAAATTCCTAGGTGCTCCACTTATCTCCAACGTGCTTCACAAATGTTCATTCTGCCTTCACGCCCGTCCTCCCCCTCACCAGTGAGGAAGTTGCATAACCCCAGCACCCCGGGGCCGCTCGCTGCGTCACGGCCCCGAGTGGAATTTCCGAGCAGGGGCTGGCACTCCCACGGGGCAGCACAGCCAGCCTCGTGGCGTAACCCACAGACAGGGATTTTCAGCCTAGTGATAGACAGAAGGGGCACAGAACCTTCACTCTGGATGATAAAAGGGGAAATGAAAAAGCAGCACTTCAGTGGCTGCGGTGAGCTGGTTACCTGATCCTCCTGCAGGGGCATTTTGGCTTTGCAAACTCACACATGGTCAGACCTCCTCCTCAGGTGGTATCAATCGCCTCTTCTGCTCAGCTGCTGTGCCCTGCGATGCTCCTCCAGCAGCACAGCCATCAGCTGCTGATGTGCAACAGCTGGACAGCATCAGAGGGCACTGCTAAAGCCTGCAGTTAGAGCTGCACCTGCCTAGGTTAAAACACACGGACAGAGGATTAACTCCCTTCTCACCTGAGAACAAAGCAGGCATCCTGACACTGCTGAAATGCTCAAAATTGCTTTAATGTCACCAAAACAAGTACCAGGAAAAATATCCACACTCCACCTCTAAAAATATTGGCTTGCTCAAAGGCAAAACTACGTAAGACAAAGACACAACAGAGAAAAGACTGACGCCTGAGTTTATTTTAAACACAGACCACTGAAGTTAGGAAATAAATGTTAACAGTCTCTCTTGCCATCAGCAGAACGACACAAATCCCACTCGTCACGTCTGTCCCTTGCCGCCAGTCTCTGGGGGGCCTTCCCCACCTTCTCCCTCTGTAGGATGACTTTGAGACCCGGTATCTGCCGTGCCTTCCAGAAGCAGCTCCAGGGCTTCCTCACCAACCACACGTCTCACCTTCTCCCCTTTGGCTGCCAGGATTTCCTCGATATTCCTGAACAGCAATTTGAAAACCAACAGTGACACTACAGCAAAGGCTGGACAGAAGAGTCTACTGCGTGCTGTCGCCTTTACACTTTGCTCTCAGTACTAGGCACTACACAGCAAATCAGCACATTGCACTTTACGATACCTTTCCATAAGTTTGGGAAGCAGATGAAACTATCCAAACCTCCTAGGACTGTTTTTATCCATTAGGATCAATAATTTAGCAATTATGGCAGAACAGAAATTTTAAAGGTATCTAAGGGAGTTAGAAATCACTGAAATTCAACAGCACACTAGGCCCCCACGTTTGAAACACATAGCCAGGTGAACCTAGCAGCGATTTAATAAAGCCTGAGGGAGAACAGAACACTACACACAGTAATTCACCTGCTGGCACCAACAAGAACATCTGCGTCTCATGCAGCTTCTGTTGCTGCTTTACACCATTTATTTGGATCCTAGGTAGTGAGGTTCAAATTATAGGTGATTATAACCTCCATTCATGTGCTTTCAGAAACTGGATGAAATATAGAATTATACCAAATAAATCCTATTTTGATCTAAACCACATATTAAAAGCATCAAAGAAATAATACCCCAACTCGGGAGGATCTGGTTATAGCTCAACAGTCTTTTTCCCTTGCTAAATGAGCGTTGCTGGCACACCTACCTTTTTCCTTCCAGATCCGAGAACCACCCCAAGTTATCGGCTATGACGTGGTGATTCTTGCAGCCGGGGCACTTCACGATGACCACCCCTTTACGGTAGGCTAACTTGGAAATTGTTTTCGCTGAGCGCGTCTGGCAGACCTGCAGAGCAAACAGACAGCAACAACAGATGACAACCGCAGCTTCTGGACCCTTCAGAAAGGGAAATATTTTCCTGAGTGGAATATTTCTTTTGTCCTCCCTCATCTCCAGATACTCCAAGGCTGCTCGGCCACGGGACGATGCCGTGCAGCTCCAGGGGCATTTTGCAGCTTAGGTCTGCAGGAGGCAGCCCCACAGCCTGATCTTCCCAGGCTCTGTCCCTTGTTTCTTTGTAAAAGTGGTAAATGGTTTTCATAGTGGGGTGAAGTGCACAACTATAGAGTAAAAATGGAAAAATAAAATATTGGTGATTTTGGCCGTTCTGGTACCGCGGATCTGTATGTTGGGGACTTTGGGAATTTCACCGGGATCCTCACCAGTTTGGAGCATGTTTTAGCACCATTATCTCATCGCACTGATACAACGCTCCCGTTATGTTTAATTAAAGAAAATAAGAGTCCCTGCTACCCAAACCTGCTGCCTGCAAGGCACCCAGGGCGACGAAACGCGGTTTTCTCTTTTTAACGCGTTTAAAGGAAGCAAACGTGAAGCGATCTCAGCGCCCCCCTGCCCTGTCACCACAGGGCTGCCCGGGGGGTGGGCGGGAAGGCGCCGGCTCCTGCTCGCCCCTCGGCCCCGGCCCACCTTGCAGGTGTACACCAGGCGGTAGTGCGAGGCCTGCAGCTGCCCCACGGGGCCCGAGGCGGCGGTGCAGAGCCGTGCCGGTGCCGGTGTGGGTACCGGTACTGGGTGCCGGTGCCAATATCGGGGCCTTTCGGGGCCGCCGTGCCGGGGAGCCCCTCAGCAGGACCCAAAACGCTGCCCCCGCCGCCCGCCGCAACATGGCGCTGGGGCAGGCGCGCGGAGAGGGCGGGCGCTGAGGCGGCGGCCGCCATCTTGGGGCGGTGCCGCTGTGGGGAACGGCCCCGAGGCGGGAGGCGCCCCCGGACCCCGCTCAGCCCCCCAAAAAGACCCCCGAGCCCCTTCGTGGCACGAAGCGGGGCCCGTCCCGTGTTGTGCATGAGCAGCACCCACCCCCCCTTTTTTCTGTTTGATTCCACGCGATCCTGGAGCGCGGAGCAGGCTCTCGGAAGCAGAAGCTCCCTCCCACACTCCCTGGCAGAGCTGGTGCCACACGCACGAAGGGCTCCGAGCCTCAGCCCTGTTTATTGATGTACTGCACACCCCTCACGTTACTGTGCATCTAAAGGACAAAGTTCTCACTGACAGATGGACGGGGGCAGGCACGAGTTACACAGTCCAGTTACACACTTTAACTTCTCATAGTGTTGGTTATAGTCCAGGTACAAGCTAACTTCTCATACACGTTGGTTTAGATGGTTTTAAGATCCAAGTAGTCTATTTGTAGAGACAAATACAGATCACACCGCAGCCCCCAGCCTCTCTGCTGTCCTGCCTTTACGAGCCCTCGGTGTCAGTGTTGTCGCTGCCCGTGGTGTTTTCCCAGTCTGCTTCGTGGTGCTGCCCCTTTGGTACTCTTCGCATTGCCCTTTTTCTGAAAACAAGGGTAGACGTTTCAGTTTTAGAAGATGTTGAGCCTCTGAAAATAAGTTCTGTAACAAATTTAAATCCTCCCTGAATCACGGTTGAGGACAGGGAACAGAGTGAGTAGAAGAAATACACACAACAAGCTAATCACTTAAGTCGCAAGATTATGACTCAATTAGTCCTGCTTACTAAAGGCCAGACCTTCGGTAACGCTCAAAGCAGTCCTTCATCCTCCTCCGCTCCTTTTCTGCCAGTTCCTCATTGGCCAAGCCACACTCCTGGAACTGGAGAAAATGCAAACAGACATGAACTGCATCCCTCTGAAGATCAGATCAATTTTATTATCCAAAACTGTTCCGTATAGACAGCTGGTTTTGAGGCTGATGTACGGTGTTTGGCCTCTGCAAGGTAAGGCTGAAAACCACCCAAAGAAGCATGATGATCTCCTCTCAGATTTGTTTGGAAGCAGTAGCTGCTTCCATGCTTCTCTAACTTAGTAAATCTATCATTAACAAGAACATTAAAGATCTCAAACCCCAGTCGGCGTCAAGAAAAGCCCACAAAGATTCTCTTACAGTGGGTGACTCCAGAGGCAGATTGCTCTCTCGGGTGCTAAATTGCTGGGTTTGTCCTTCAGGGCAGTCTTCTAAAAGATGGAAAAATCACAGCGTTAGTCATAGTTGCCACTGATAAGTAACTTCTCCTTCCACTAGTTCAGCAAGTAGCAATAGTTGTAATGTAACAGCTGCCCAACAGAGCACAGAGTCAACAGCAGAACTGAAACCAAGCCTTAAAATGTTTGGGATTTAGTCTTCTAATCAATGTGCAAGTCACCGTTCATTTTATTTGATCCCCTAAATCTTGCTTAGGATGATGGACTTCCCAACGGGCTCAGAAAGAGAGACCATCTATCTAGTTTCAGCAGATGGGGGAGCAAAATGAACCTTTGCAAAGCAGCACCTCTGCTTAACATCATCAAAAAAAAAAACAAAAAAAAACAAACGTGTTGAAGATGAGCACGAGAAATCATTCTAAACATGATTTTAATCACAATTTGTCCCTGTTCCCCAACAACTAAGTCTTGCATATCAAGATGCTTAACATCAGGTGATAATTTAGTGAAACTCCTTAGTGATCAGGTACTGTGCTACCCAATTTTGAACTGAGTGAGGTACAATAATACAAGTATTTTTTTGGATCAGTGTTGTTTAGCTTTTGTGAAAAATCTCCCATCTCAATAAATAAAAAGAGATCAGAAAAGAAAGTTTCTTCTGTGCTACTTTTCCTTCTTTCTCAACATGTTTTGAAGGAGAATCTCAAGTTCTTAGAGGAGCCTGTTAATTCCTCTCCACACTGCTGAATCATTTCCACTGGGGATGCCACAAAAACAGAACCAGTGACAGCATTAATTACATGCTTCTGCTTTTGTGAAAACAGCCTGCAACATAAAAGGGAGGAGGGGAAGGAAAAATCCCTGAAGAAAGCCACATGGTCCTTCTGAACTGGAAGGATGCTTTTTCTGTTCTCAGCTCAGCCACAAATGCAAGAAGACTTGGGGAAAAAAAGATATCCAGGAACTGTTTGTCAGAGGCACCATGTACTAGGTGATTTTTCCTGGACAAATTCAGAAGACAGATTACTGGAAAAAAAAGACTCAAGGACCTAGGACAGAGTAGTGACACAACTTTGGCACGTCATTCAGCTGTATGAAAGACTATTTCAAAGACCACGTAGTAAACAGCGTGGGGAGTTTTTTCTCTCCGAAAAGCTGCACTCACTGTTCCCAACATCTGGGGACAAGTTCTTTTTATAGGTGAGAAGGATGGTGGTATGGCAGAGTGCCTCGGGATTCTAGAAGCCTTGATTTATGGGTGCCTATTCTGAGTACTCTCAAGGAAGCCTTACTCAGAGGGCCGAGCATGCCCCACTGAGAAACACCTCTCCTAAACTGAGCCTCCAGTCATGCTACCTCTTCTCTACTGAAAATAAAAAGCAGGGATTGTCTTTTCCCATCCCTTTGGAACACTGAATGATCCCTTCCAGAACTCTACCCTATGTTTTGCCCAACAAAAGCCTTACTTTTAGCCAGCTGTGCATCTTCATCTAGATGACCATGAAGAGTAAGCTATGGGACAGAAACAAAGCGAGATATGAGAACAGCCCCTTATTCCTTCTCAGACAATAGCTAGGAACAGATGGAGAAACATAAGACACAGCACATGCATAAAACCAACCATTCCCTATTGTGTCTTGCTGTCAGCAAAATAGGAGACATTCTGAGCCAAAAGTTATCGATCTACCATAAATTTATCCTCCAAGACTATACCCAGTTCTTGTGGCCTCATTTATGCATTTTGTCTCCAAACAATGTGATGATCTCTTCCACAATGAAATTATGAACTAAGTAAAAACTACAGCTGACCCCAGGGTAATACTTTTGATTGTTCTCCCACAAGAGGCAATCAGAAGCAACCCAAAATAATTTGATCCCACTTGTCTACTTAGACTCAACAGTCTGAAATTATCCCATCAGAAAGTAAAATGTAAACACGGCGCCCTACTCACTTCCTGGGAATCTCTGGAAGAGGTGTCATCCAGGTCAGAAGTCTGAAATAAAACCAGTAACTTAATTATTCCTCGTGAGCAATGAAGTTGCAATAACAGAACGTATAGGAGAGTGAAAGCTTCAGAAAACAGAGAATTGAGGACTTCCTCCCTCCCACAATCTTGTCTGACCACTTGGAGAAAGTACACAAGATGTCACACTAATTAAAAGCTACGATGCCTTATTATTTCCAAAAACCCATTTACTCTGGTTCCATTTCATCTAAATGGCTCATACATGTTCTCTAGAGTTCATAACAGTCACACGCTCTGCCTGAACTGAGCTTTCCAACCCCTCGTACACAGGACAGCCCCACAGGCATACCAGTGCAGGTAGCTCCAGCTGCAACCTTTTCAGCTTGGCTTCAGTAGCCAGTAGCTGGCTCTCCTTTTGGAAGAGCTGCAGCTGCATCTCGTCACATCGCTCCCCCAGCTCCCGAATCTGTTTTCGGTAGGTGTCCCTCTCGACCAGGTTCTTGGAGTACTGCGTGTAGAACTGTTCCCTGGTCAGCAGTGCCTGGTGTAAGGGGCAAGATGTCACGCGTGGCACGTCACACAGCGGTACATGCAGGGTTACAGCACCTGCCTGCTTCAAGCAGCAAGCCAGGAATTAGCAGCAGCAACCCCAGGAGGAAGGTTTTATCACCTGGTCTCTTTCTGAAGCCACTTCCTCCAGCTGCTGCAGGACGGCTTCGATCCGTTTTTTATACATCTGGGTGTCCTTCCTCAGGGACGTGCACTGTAGCTCAAGCATCTCCTTTTCTTCTGCGTACTGTTGAGACATGGTCAAAAGCACCCTGCAGGTGGGGTTGAGTCGGAGCTAGGATCTCACCCCTTCTGCTCCGTGCCACAGCCTGACCTCCCTGCAACATCAAAGTGCAGCCAGACTGTCCAGCTGGAGGCAAAGCCAAACAGGAGACCAGTCAACATGACTAGGAGAACTGCTGACGTGGTGGATTTACAAGCACCAGAGCTGTCGCTCATTAGAAAAGCTCTCATCACCCTCCAGGCATGAGGCATGGACTGTTAATTAACAGGCACAGGCATCACCAGATAACACAGTTACTGTCACAGAGTGCTAAAATATTAATAATTTCCTCGGACTGTAACACGGACCATAGAACAGGAGCAGCAGGGATCCCTGCTGAGCAGCTCCTCCGCTCCACAGGCAGGACATGGCAGGTGCTTCATCTGCCCGTATTACCCACTGACCCCCAGCAGGGATTTGCACTGCACCGCTTACTTTGTCTTGGAGCACCTCGGCTCGTCGCAGCTCCCTGCGAAGGTTGTAAACGGTGTTCATCAGCTTGCGGCGCTCCAGTATCTGGCTGCAGTCGTTCTCCAGAGTTTCATTGGAGAGGCTCTTCTCCAAATTTTGTTCCCTGGCAACCTGCTGGACAAAGAAGAAAGTGAGATACAGCAACCATCTCACTCTGTCAACTCTCTCTCCGCAGCCCCACGTGCTCTGTTTGACCTGGGAGAACAAGGCCACAGCTGAGCCACACAACCTTCAGTACAGCCCCATCGCTGCCCGGGCTGAAACAAACAATCACTTCTTAGGATTCCATATCCAGTCGCCCCCACCAACCTGGAGAGTGTTCTCCAGCTCCTGATTCTTGGCCAAAAGCAACTCCTTCTCCTGCTGTATCTCCCACATCACCTCGTGGCTTGGACGCTGCTCTATGGCATGCTTCAATTTCATTGTGTGCTTACGCTCCAGCTTGCAGTCATCCTCAGCCTTCATGAGGCTGTGCTTCAAGTGATCGATCTACAAGGAGGTTCAGAACGTATCAGTCACAGGAAGAAAAGTCCGGCCTCCAAAAGCAGTTCTCTTGTGGCAGTTCTCACTCCCCAGACAAACATGGGGCACGCTTTTCTCTGTTTTCCCCAGGAAATTTGGTGCTCTGAGGATCAGAGTCTTGCCTGGCTGCTAAATTGGTACAACGTGCTGGTTCTGTGCTGCCCTTGTGAGAAGGCCTGGACTTGAGTGAGGGAAAAACAGTTAATTCTTCACAGCACAGCCTATAAGACATGAGCTACGGACCACCAAGACATGCCATCTGCTAAGGAATATGCGCAGTAACGTCTCTGGACCATCCCAGACAACGATACATCTGGAGCACAGCACAGCTCTTCAGGGATCAAGTAAGAAGTGAAGAAAAGGGCGACTGACCTCTAGGAGCAGGTCCCGATTCTTCATGAGGGCAGCGCTCTTCTCCTCGCTCTGTTTGGCGTAGCTCATGGCCAGGTTGTAGTTCTCGTCCTTGCACTTGCGCAGCTCCTTGCTCAGGCTGTCCCGCTCCTCCTTCATCTTCTGCGCCCGCTCCTGGTGCTTGCGGAGCAGGCTGTCCCTCACCCACATCTCTCTGATCGTGTTCTCCTTGGTGTGCAGCCACACGGTGAGCTCCTGGGCCTTCTGCCGCTCCTCCTGCACTGTCCTCTGCAGCTTCATGATCTCGCTCATCAGCAGCTGGCTCAGGCCGGACTCTCCGGCCGTGTCTGTGGGGTGGGCAGACATCAGCTCCTGCTGTCCTGTCTGCCCCCCAGCCACGCACACAGCGCTGAGCCCACCCCCACTTATCTGAGTCAAACTCAGAGGAGAATTCCCCCTTCAGTTACACAGCACCAGTAAGCGAGGAGCTGCTGCTTCTCTGAACTCAAACTTTACCTATGATCATAGAGAAAACCCTGCTTGGGTCCTTGCCGGTTATCTTCTTGTAGAGCTGTGGATAATAAAGCTCAAGACTCTCCATAAACGCCTCAAAGCCCTTGCGCCCCGTTCGCTGAAGAATGTCCAGGAGAACACCTGAAAAACCAGCAATAGTTCTATTAATCTATTTTTCTCTTTTCCTATTTCAATTTCAAAGAATTGCTCCCATTTCCCCATATGCAGGTTAAATTCCTTGGGATCAAATCTCCTGGCCCATATTAAGCCAACTGCTGTGGAGGAACAAATAAAACTTAACCCTTCTATCTAGCTCCTATTAAAGTGGGTGCACAAGTCTCAGAAGGGCACTTTGTTATCCTGCTGACAGCTACAGAAGAAGTAAGCTAAAATGAAGCACAATGGTGGTTTCTGCAGCTCGAGGCTCCGCTCCCAAATATCATAGGTAAATATAGGTTAAAAAAAAATAAAAAGTGCCACTAGGTAAAAGGTAGCAGAGACAAGCCTAAGTAAGACTTAAGACTTTGAGCTCAGTTGCCTTCTTTGCCTAGAAATAAATCTGTACCAAACCAAGCCCGGGGTGCTTCTTGTCTGGGTTTGCAGTTTCCCAACATGGAAAACATGGAATGTAAATTAAAAAATAATAATAAATGGAACGTACCTGTTAGGTACTGGAAGGAAAGCAAGCTATTGCAATCTGCTCCCAAGAGCATGAGCTTATCTTCAGAGCCAAAAGCTGCACTTCACCCACCTGCCTTCCGTTTGCGCATGACCAGGCTGGGGTCGTTGAGAACTTGTTCTTCATCATCATGGTTTATCACCTGGCACTGGCGAAGGTAGGGTGTTATACGGGAAGGATCTATCACAGAGATCAGCTTCACACGGTAGTTTTCCAGGTTATTCCAACATGTCTCGTCGTTATCTTCTTCCAACATGGTGGCGAGTGAGAGGTATTGGCGAGCTGTCTCAGCCGTCCTTAAAAACAGAAAACAAAAAAGCAGACTCTAAGCCTCCTGGAAAAACGTGGGTGGTGCTGGGGAAACCAAGTGTGTTCACTGAGTGAGAATGGAAAAGTGTCTTCTACGTACAGGAACACATCTCTCATGCAGTCTTTAACTCAGCAATTATGAATTCCTTTCAAAACAGGATGAAATACGACAGCTGGACCTGCAAGAACAGTGCAGCGCCAGGCTGGGGATAGCAGCAGCTCCGAGGCCAATGCCAACGCTACTGACACACACGTGAAGGAGAACCAGTGTGAAATTATGAGAAACCATAAAAAGAGTCACCAAAGCTTGATGCTTTCCCTCCAGCCAGCTGAACTTCTCCCAGAGCACTGCAAGACAAAAGCGAAACTGCTTAGCAGCAGGACCACTGGTGATGGGAAAGTCATCGAGAGCCCAGTGGAGAGGAAAATCCAACAAACTCCAGATTCCCGACAGCGCACCCCAAGGAGGAGCTGTCAGATCTCATTGACTTCATCAGGAGTTCTCCAGATGCTCAACTATGCTCACAATTAAATCTTGAATTTATCCCAGCGAACGACACAAAAAGTTTGGAACACAACACAAGATGAGCTGATGGCAAACAGCAATTTTCCACTTTGAAAGTGAGCATCTTCTGAAGCAAAAGCATCTTTGAAGGCCTCCTAATTAGCTATTAACTCTACTTTTTAAACAGTTCACACTCTTCCTCCTCCATCTCACAGCATCTGAGAGCCCTGTATTATTGCCTGGCTACACAATCCTAAATATAACTCCCACAGAAGGCTCAGTGAAAACCCCCAGTGGTGATAGCCCAAACTGCATTCAGCTGTGTAAGAACCTGGTTTTTCTGCAATTTATGCTCTGAAATAACACGTGCAAAGGGTGCCTCGATGTGCTTTGGGGGAGCTTACTTCAGGGCTCCCCCACAGCAGCTGGACCAGGTTATTAGTTATTTGCCTCCTGATTACAGCTGCTGTTCATCATGCTCAAACTCTTCAGCCAGGAACTGTGCAGCTGAGCAAAAGCAGAAAATCCAACCCTGCTGTACCCAGGCTTTTGTCTGAAGGCGGTTTTATCAATTCAAATAAGAACTAAGGCAATATTTATATTTCTTTTGCCTTTTGTAGTCAGCCTGTTCCATAAGGAGTATTTCTGAAATCCCAGCCACTAATTACTATGCTCACATCACATGCCAGCAACCTTAGCAGTCAAGTTTTCAGTTTAGTTTGATTTGAGGTGGAGAGGAAAGAGTTCTGACTACACAGGGGCTGAGATTTCACTCACATCTTACCGCATCCCTTCAAGCATCCCCATTGATAAATACCACACACACCCCTCAGAGCTGTAAAATTAAAATTACTGGGTCAATATAAACAAATCAGCATTATGTGGACCAACCTGGGCCTACGCAGTCCAGATTCTTCTTGTCTCTTACGCTGGTCTGGGAAAATTCATCTGCGTCCTGTCCCTGAGGAAATGTGTCCAGGCTGCAGCCTGCCTTAATACTCTGTCTAGTGCAAAAATAATTCCAGGAATAAAACCGATTCAAGAAAAAGGGAAACTACTCAGCTACGCTCTGAGGCAGAAAAGGGAGAGAATAATAAGGGGCCCCCCCAAAAAAGGGAAGCCTGAAAACATGATGGGGGAGGAGAATGAAAGCTGACGACATTGCAAGTCAGCAGCATTACATTGGCAGTGATCTTAGACCCACTCAGACTTGGGTTTCCATCTGTACTGCTGAAGCACCAGCTACAGCCAAGGAAGCTTCTTTGTGCAGAAAGATTAAAAAGAGTGAAGGGCACAGGCCTGTCCAACGTATTTCAGGGGACAAAACAAACTGCTGAGAGTTAGAAGACAAAAGCTCTTCAAGACAGCCTTTCAACTGCTCAGGTAACATCTTTGAATGCAAATGGAGGTGGCAAGAATGCGTTCTTGGTCGAGAGTTCAGCTGAGAGCGAGGATTTCTGAAGCAACGCCTCAAATTTTGGATGTCCGTAAGCTTCAAGCACAATTATGACAACCGAGTGTTTGGAAGGAGAGGGAGTCAAGAACTGGCAAAGCACAGCCCATGAGTCCCAAATTACAGGCTGTGGCTCTACCAGCAATTAAAGGAGCAGCCCAGCAAGCAGCAGCGCAGTGATGTTAAACACCAACAAACCTGTGACTGTCCCCCTCCCTTCCTACAATCCTAGAACCGTAGCTGCACCAAAAACTCACTAACAGCCCATTTTAAAAAAGTCTCGAGCATGTACTCGCTCTGATACCATGGCAGCATGACACATTTTCCCATTAGCTTCCCACTCCACTCGTTGTTCTGCTAAATTCCAGGAGAGTTTCTGCATGTTTTCCTTCAGAACGGAAGCAGAGATGCTCAGATTCTATAACCCTGAGCTTCTTGGTAGACATTAAATTAGCTTTACACTCCAAAAGATGCAGTACCTCTATTTAGCAAGGGCACAAATAATAGAAGTAAACAGAATGCCTGCTGATTGATCAATCTGCCACATAGATTTGTTGGGAAAAATGTTACCTATAATCAGCTTGGGGAAGACAGAGCACGCTGCAAGAGGAAAGCTATTTCAAAATGCTTCCTCCCATTCCGCAGTGTCACGCAATTACAGAGACCTCAGTACCCCCACGGCCTGTCCAGCCCCAGCTCTGCCAAAAGGGCCCTCAAAGGAAAGTTTTAGCTCACAGCACACTGAACTCACCACTAAGCTCTTGGGAAATGTTGCCAGGCACAGCGCAAGGAAGCTTTCTGTAGCAGCTTCCCACTAGATTTTTACCAGCTTTGACTCAGCTAGCCTTAAACCTCTCTATATGATGGAAATTACTGTTTTATGAATGAGGAAACGAGCTTTTGTTAAGTGATTTGCTGATGGCTGTATGGGGCAGGCTGGGGAAGAATCAGGAAAGAATCCAAGCATAATTCAATCTTGCATTTTTAGCTGCATGCATATTCATTTCCCACATTCTCCTTGGCTTTCTTTCGTGTGGCTTTCAGACTTCATTTTTCTCATTAGCAATCACACTCACACAGACATTATTTACCATAAAAAACACAGAAGACATCAATAGTTTAAGTGAGAAAAATAAAATATCTGTATTTCAACAAATACTCAAGGCTCATTTGATACAAAATTAACCTGCTGCTTATTCAGCAGTATTCAGTCAGCTGTCAAACAACACTGTCACAGCACTAAAACATCTAATGGATCACACTCTGAATACAGATAAACATTCACATAAATAGGGGCTAACACAAAAAGGAAATAAATAACCATCCTTGCTGGCTACCCCAGGTCTCCAGCAATCCCTCCCCACAGCATTTGTGGCAGGTGCTGAAAGAGAACAGAATCGCTCTGTGCCTCAAAGCCTTCCCTCCAGCAGTTTGACTTCATTATTTGCAACTTGTACCAAACAAGAAGACATTGTTAGGCGATGAGGAAACCACTCCAGCAGTTTTCCTCTCTTCCCCAGGTCTGTGTGGTCAGTTTGTTGGAAGCATTAAAAGTGAATAGTGCAAAGAGTATCTCCTACTGCCATGGAACAAGGCAGACCCCAGTCAAGTGACTCCTGTAACAGAGCACAAACAACTCCAGTTAGTCACAGGACTTTTTTTTTTTTTAATAGGGAGTTTCTGAAACTTGTTCTAAAGGAGAAGGGAAAAAAAAAGTCAATCTCAGCCAACAAGCAAGCAAATCAAACACCGTTCACACTCATTTGGTCCTCAACACATTAAAACATCACACACTTGTACCCTACAGGAGCTACTCCAGTATACACAGAGAAAATGGAACTGTATAGGAGGAGAAAGTTTTTCAGCTATGAAGCTTCAAAGATGAATTGCAATGATGAATCCACCAGTCTTAAGCCCTGGCTTCCCACCATCTTTTAATCCTATTCCTCACCTCCTCTTAAAGACTCACAAGCCAGGCAACAGAGAGCACCAAACTGTGCAAAAAGCTGAGGCTGCCTGCCCAAGACCTCCAGGACAGCCTCACAACACAGAGCGAGGACGTCCTGCTCCCAGCCTGCTGCAACCCACAGCAAGGATTTACTTCGGCTTCTGCTTCAACTGTTTAGTGCTCCCACACACAAATCCACGCCATCAGCAGCAGCTGCCCAGGCCTTCCTGTCCCAAGCTGTGACCCTTTATTCTTACACTGGCCTCACCTTAGCAGCCAAGTCTCTGGCCTCATCTGTACCTACTCACCAGGTATAATACTAATAGGCAGCAGCAAGGTCTAAAAGGCTGCCAAATGCCTGAACTTTACAGCATTTATATATAGTTTTATCATGCAGACATCACCTTTTCCCCATGAAAGTCACAGAATATAGGTGACTTAATATGTCTTAATATATGATTGCAGAACTCTGTGCTAAGGGAAGGGAAGTCAAACCCATCCGCTCCTAGGGTCATGATTCATTGTCTGAGCTGTGCCACAGACGAAGGTATTTCAGGTTCTCCCTTCGAAGAGAAGAAAGGCAAGATTCACAGAACGATTACTAACCCGTTTCCTTCTCATGTCCTTCTCCTTTTCCTGAGGCGGGAACTCCTCCTGATTTGAGGAGCGCTTGGCATCAGTCACATCCGTGTAGGAGCCCGAGACAGGATTGTGCAATCTCTTCAGCTCCCATGCCCTGCAAGGTAAGCAGAACAGACTATGTGCACACTAACGCAAGACCCAGCATAATATTCAGCCCCTTCAACCCATCTTTTTATTTTAGGGAGCTCAGCAAGATTTCCAGAATATTCCATTTACACTCAAAATTAAGCATGGAGCACACTGTTAGGTTACCGTGACCACAGGTAGCAGAAAACATCCAAATGCATACATTTTTCAGAAAGACAACTGCTGGTTTTTAGGCACCTTTGTCATCTTTCTGTAGAAACAGCTAGTGACCTTGTTTGTTCATCTTCATTAACGTTTCTTTTGTCTGGTTTGGAGTCACAATTTATTGAAATGCAAGTTTGAACTACACAGCTTCCTGGCATGTTCTGTAAGAAACAGTGTTGGGCATTAAGAGATTTAATTTAAAAAAATATTAAATCAGAGTGATTTTTGGTTGGTATCATGGCTGAGATCAATCCATATACTCCAATAACCTTTAGTCACATCAAATAATTTGGGAGGAAAACATTAAACAGCAACAGGAACAAACATGCAAGTTCCCTTATGTTACAGGGGCTTGAAGAATGGAGACAATGAAAATCAAGGGCCTGATTTAAAAAGTACAGGAGCGAGGCCTTTATCTTTGTGAAGACCAAAGGCTCACAGCCAAACAAGAGAGCTGCTGTTATCGGGTGCAGAGCTCTGCTTACTCAAGATGACCACATTTCTGCTACGCTTAAGATCAGGGGGAGTTTCCCCCTAGATTCCAGTGGGAGCAATGCTCAGCTGGCAGTAACCTTCCACTTTCGGTACCTGGCACCTCTGCTTTACCTCGTTCGGAAAATCGGCATCTTCATCTCCTGGCTCCTCACCACCTGTCCCATCCGACTGCACGCCTGTTAATTCACTGCCAGAACTCTCTTCCTCTGACACTTCGTTCTCACTCTGCCACTCCTCTTCATCACTCTCGTCATCCTGCTTCCTGCTGCCTGACAGAGTTGTCACCACTTTTGGGGGAGACAGAGTGGCGAGCACAGCAGGGAGCGTGAAGGCCGCCAGGAATCTGGCTTTCAGGAGGAGAAAAGCAGGGTCATCGCCCAGTTTCTGATGCACCAGTTCCGTGATGGCACGCAAATCAACCCCAGCGCCCTCATCCCGACTACCATCAGAAGGCAGAAGACACGCTGCTTGCTTCTCCAGAGCCGCCTTCTGCAGAAGCAGCCTTGAGAGGGTTTTTAAGTTGCACAGGAAAGGTGGGAAATAAGGCAACCTGGTTTGCAGTGGCGGTACCTGGACACCCTGCTCCCCACTCAGCCACTCTTTCACCACCTCCTCGTCCTCAAGGGAAATCAGGCTGAAGTCGAGCTGAGTTTTTCCTGCGCTAGAAGTGGTTGGCTGGGGCGGACCCCCAGCAGGCTGCGTAGCGGGTGGTTTGGAGGCGATAGGTCTGGGTTTCAACACTCGGGCAGCAAAACCCTCCGAGTTCTTTGGGACGTCGTTAGGAGGAGCTGGGTCTCTCGGCTGGAGCACAGCCCCTTCTGTAACGATGGCTGGGTTGGAAGATGATGCGTTTGGTGTAGAGGAGTCCTGGTTCTTCTCTGAGCTAACAGAACTTGCTGCACAGTGGGAATCAGACCCTGCAGTACTTGCAGGTAGCTGTGTTTGGGGCAGCAGCGCA